CTCTCTCTCTCTCTCTCTCTCTATCTATAGAATGACAGCGCCATCCAGTGTTCAACCACGGGAGCATTCGTTTCCCATCGTCCCGCCCCTTCTCTAATCCTATTGGCTCCGACCGTTTCCCTCCGTCGCCGACGTTGCCGCTTCCTCATTGGCTCCGTCGCGTGTCGCTCCAGCGCGTCCACGGAAGTTCGGCCGCCCACTACAAAGATGGAGGACGACATCTCGGATGTGAGCCGACCACAGATGTATTTGTTCGGTGAGCTGCCTCCCTCCCTCTCCCCTCGCGTCTCCCCCGTCTCCCCTCCACACGCAGCGCCTCGTTATCACGCCACGAGTGGCCATTTAACATCTAGAGCTAGCGGAGGGTAGCTAAGTAGCATGCTAACCTGCCTGCCCTCCCACTCGGCGCCAATTCAGCTCTATTGTTAGCTAGCTCAGCTAATCCCCCCACTCCCCCCCTTCCTTGTGTCTGCAGGGTTTGAAGCTTTGTTGTGTGTTTGTGTGTTTGTGCATGAAGCTTGAGTTAGTTACACACGTGTGTGTGTTTGTGCTCTGTCCCCAGGTTGCACCCTGAAGTCCGACAAGCGAGAGTTCAAAGTTGACGTCGAGGACGATGATACGGAGCAGCAGCTGTCACTCAAAGCGGTGAGAGAGACTCCCTCCACTTTTAATACATGTGAACATGAGCCTGGTGATATTTACTGTTTCTGTAGCTTTCACATGTTAATAATACAGATTTTAATACATGTGAACATGAGCCTGGTGATATTTACTGTTTCTGTAGCTTTCACAGGTTAATAATACAGATTTTAATACATGTGAACATGAGCCTGGTGACTTCTTACTGTTTCTATGACTGTCACATGTTAATAATACAGATTTTAATACATGTGAACATTGGTATGGTTAGTTTTAACTTTTACTGTAACCTTCACATCTTAATCTGTGCAGCTGGCAGACCCCAGGGTTTGTTAACGGGGCTGCGGCTATCTGTTTCTTTTAATTGATTAATCTAACGATTGTTTCTTGTCACTCTGCTGTTGCAGGTCTGTCTGGGAGCTGAAGCAGAGGACAAGTTCCACATGGTGGAAGTCGAGGGCCTCACCTATGATGGAAAAACTACCAAAGTGCCACTGGTCGCCCTGAAGCCGTCCGTCCTGCCGTCTGTGAGTCAATATAAGCACTGACTGCAATTTGTGAAGCATTAAAGAGGCTGTTGACTGATTTGCTAACTATCTCATACACACTCTTTACTAAGTTTAAATTTTAATAGTGATTGTTCGGAAAGGATTTTTGGGGCTGATGCCCACATTAGGGAGTAAAACATGTTTCATTTTTTTTTGCAAATCTTCTTTGGATGTTGTTATAAAACCCTGAAGACAAAGAAATGTAATTAATAACTATTTTTTAAATGATATCGCCCAGATGAGTTTAGGTGGATTTGAGATCACTCCTCCCGTTACCTTCCGCCTCCAGTCTGGCTCTGGACCAGTTCACATCAGCGGGCAGCACTTTGTTAGTGAGTATAACTGCAGCAGCTGTTTCTGCTGTAGTCACTTTTCCTTCTACTATAATTACACACAACATATCACATCACATGACTCAACGAACACGTTACCACATCATTAAAACGAAGCAGTAACGAGTATTTGCTCCGTAGGTGTGAAGGATTCAGAGGATGAAGAAGAGGAGAACAACTCTTCGCCGGTGAAACGACCTGCGAGCCTGATGTCGGGGAAGAAGCCTCTGTTGGTAATTACCTCAGTTTGTTCTTTGAGTTTGCAACAGTTACAAGGTTTATTCATTCCAGCTTTAGGTGATAGCAAGACTGAACCGTGTTTTAAAGGTTTTGAGGCTGTGGTGGTGATTTGTTATTGATATTTCAAACTCTGAAGACATCTCTAACAAACCGATGATTCATTTTCCCTTGTAGAAAAAACTTAAGATGGATTCTGATGACGATGATGAAGAAGACAGTGACGAGGATGACGATGAGTATGTTTTGTTACTTACACCTAAAACATATGAAAAAATTATAAAAGGGAAGATCTTATTCACCGTTCTTTACTCGAGCGTTGACACGTGTGATTGTACTTTTTACTTTTAACCTCACAAGTTTTGTTGCTTGCTGCTTTTTTGTAGTGATGATGAAGATGATGACAGTGACGACAATGTGAAGCCTCAGAAAAAAGTGGGAAAAGAGCTTGAAAAGGTAAACCTGACTGGAAACATTACATCACGAGATACATAAATGAAACACTTCTCACGAAGTCGTGACGTACGTGACTGTGACAGTAGATCACAATTTAATGCTTGATTATGTTTTATATTCACCACATGAGGTCACATCTTACACCTGCTGCTAATAGGTTTCCAAACACGATGCAAATCTTTTTAGTTTCAGACCAACACAAATAATTTGCCACTTGGTTGAAATAGAAAATATACCTGTACCCATGGGTACATTGGTCTTATATGTATTTCTGTACTGTTGTTGTTCTACTCAGACCAAACTAAATGTCCTTGTGGATCACCGGGCTGTTCTCGGAACAGATCCGAGTGTTTTCAATCCTCTGTTGTCCACCAGGTGTCAGGGTAGCCAAGGGCCTGCCCTCAGATCTGTCTCGTGTAAAAGGAATTTCTGCCCACTCCCCTTCTGTTTCAACCACATCATTTAAACTCCCACAGACTGTGTCCTATAGTAGCATTTCATTTCAGCAGGCCCTACCCATCCCTGCACCCGCTGACCGTCCACCTTTTTTTGTATGATACAAAACATGGAACTTTTTCATCCTGTTGGCTCATGTACCCACCTGTTTCTGCGAGTAAAACACAGGGTCTGTGTGGCGTAATGATTGGATTTCTCCTCTGTAATCTGCTTGAATTCTCACCGTCTCACCAACACACACACACACACACACACACACACACACACACACACACACACACACACACACAGAGTCAGACATGCAGAAACTCACTGTAGACATGTACACTCAAATGTTTAAGTCCTCATAACTTTGTGAAAATGCAAACATTAACAAGATATATCTACAGTACATATGCAGGGAAGCTCATTACTCACAGTTTAACACACACACACTCACACACACACGCATACTGGGAGAAATCTTCCCCCATTTTTTGTGAAACGCTGCATATCTTTGTCCCTCTGTCATCCCACTGTTAATATGATTGCTCCTTTTTATCGTCTCTCATGCCATTTCAGCTTTGCACCTGGCCCTTGCCTTTGAACACTTGTTTTGCGTGTTAGCACAATCACTTGCAAGTGTGTGGGTGCATGTGTGTATCTGCCTGGTTTTGAGTTTTTTTTTTTTTTTTTTTAAACACTGTCCAAGTGCAAACTGTGCCAGGCAAAACATCAAAGCAGGGCAGATGCACATACCTGCGACGTGAGCGCCGATCCTCGCCTCAGGGTCAGATGACAGCTGAGCATTTCTGTCACCTGTTGATTTATTCTGTTGTCTTCGCCCCCCCCCCCCTCCACCTCCTGCCCCAACCATTCCTCCCTTCCACGACCTTAATCCTTTTCTTCACCCTTCGTCTCTGTAGCTGTCCTGTCTTGTCTTCGGTAATGAAGGTTCTAGAAATTCATCCGGATATTAATAATGTTTCTGTCCTTTTTATGTTTTTCTCCTATTCTAACTTAGTCCTCTTTTGATAATCAATGGAAATAGGTGTATGTGGAAAATGTGTGAACACGATAATGTTTTCTTCTGTTTTTGTTTTGATATGGATTTCAAAATAAGATTAAGAGGCACGTGTGTCCTACGGCTGACTTGGAAATAGACATTTGAAGTGCAGTTTGAGAGTATTGCCATGACATGTAAATCATACATCATTAGTTCAGATTATACAATTATCATATTTTTGGCAGCAGAACAGCCTGGTCGTGCCAGTGTTGGCATTGAGAACAACACACCAATTAAAAAACAAGTGGCAAAGCATACTTAAACAGAAAGAGTAACGTCCCACTGCAGGATCTGAACCCCCGGAGTCAGGGACTGTTTCTGGGAACTTAGTGATAAACCCAGAAACCTGAAATATGAGTTTGCAGTGCTGAACATCTGTGACTGCTCCAACACATCACTTGTGAACCACTTTTTATGCAGGAGTGATGTAGACTGTGATCACAACTGTTAATACTGGGACACAAGACAGAAATTTATTTTAATTTGAGGTTTTAGCACCAAGTACCAAGCACTTTAGTACCCAGCCCGGGTCAGACACCCAAGGAGCCATGCACAGCTCAGTGTTAATGTTGGGTCTTTTCATACATGTTTGGACTGTAAAAAGTTATTATTTACAGTCCTCACTGGATCTGACAGTAATTTACTGCTCCTCTCTCTGTCTCTATCATTTGCGCTGCACACTGCCAAGCGAATCAAGTGTCCACATACATGTGTCCAAGGACACTGTGTGTGTGTGTGTGTGTGTGTGTGTGTGTCGGGATGGGCTGTCTGAGAGAGAGAAGTGGGCAGGGGAGTCAGTGTGTGTGTGAAAAAAAAAGTGAAGACAGTAATTGTTGAACAACAGATACAGCCTCACAATGGAAAAACTTTTAATCTAGAACCAGTGTAAACGTAGAACACATTCACGGCTGCATCCATGTGAGCGTCGTCGCTACGTTGAATTAATTTAATTTTAAAAACAAAATACAAAAAACTGCTTTTGAATCCTCAGTGAAACAACCTCCCAGCGTCTTGTATTACCGCTCGAGGACATTACATGTGTAATTGCCTTGTAGCAGTTATGTCAACACAGGCAATTACACTTCTAGCCCATTCCAAGGTGAATACCAGTGATTGCAAGGAAAGGGTTGGTGCTCAGGAAATGCAGGTACTTGCCTCGGCTATTACAAGGTAATTACACAGGTGCCTGAGAGCAATGGAAACCTGACGGGAAGGCCTCCAGTGTGGAGGAGAACAATGACGGGTTATTGGGGCACTAAGTGTCTGATCAGTGAGAAATTACCAAGCGTGTCTCGAGTTTCCTCTGTAATTTGATGTAGCGATGGTGCTTGGAGATAGTTTCAGGTCTGGTTACGCATCATCCCTAATTTTGGTGCTGTTATGTTTTTTGGTACAGGCTGGATCAAACTTTTTATTTACTGAAATACTTATTCAGAATAAATTGTTAATTTTTCAGAATTAGCTGCAACTGCTGCTTTAGTTTAATTTTACGAGTTTATGCTGTGATCCATTTTAAAAGGCGTGTACATGTGCAGCCTTGATATTATTATCATGTTGCAGGGGTGAGAGAAAATGATGTGAATGCCTCATGGCCAAAGACTGAAGAAAATTAACCACAAATGCAAACACTTAAACAAATGTGGTTTACATTACATTTAAATGCCAATTATAATTTGTCAGCTATAAAAGAGGCCTGGCAATTAGTGCTCTGATATGGGAGTGTTCAAAACAACATGACTGCACTACCAGAGCCCCAGAGAAGCAGAAATCCAACAAGATGTATGAAGAAGAACAGAGTGAAAATCACAGATAGACAAATTTATGCACACGCTATAGGGGTTTTTTTAATTTTCAGGAAGTATTAATCACGCTCAGGTTTCGTTTTATTTACTGGATTGATTGTGATTTACAATCAGTTTTAGTTTACATGTTTACATTACACTTCTGCTATAAGACAGCGCTCTGCTTGTTGTCTCCTTCACAGTTTTATGGGCTATTCTGCAAAGCACACTGGTACATTTTAGATAATTAAAGCCCCTGTAAACAGCAGGGTATCATCCAAAATGGTGGATGTCTCATTTTGGAATTTTTTTTTGTTTGTGTCTTTGCTTTGTCAGAGTCGAGAGTTTTCAGCAAAGAAGCCCAACAAGACTCCGGTGAAACAGAACGGCCCTGCAGGGAAACCATCGGGATCTGCGGTCAAGCCACAGATTAAGGTATGGAAAGACTGAATCACCTGCTCAGCTTCGCTAACTTGTGGTTGGCTTGTTTTTGAATTAAGTGGTTGACAGCTGCTGGGCTGGAGAATGAGGATCAGGTGTAAGGTTCAACAAAGAGCCTTTTTTTTCAGCACTGTTTTATAGAAAGGCGGTGCAGATTTATACGTGCATTAAAGACAGATCTGTGTTTTTCTTTTTTTACTATTGTTATTCATATTCAAGCAAAATAAAGGGGTAGGGTTCTAAGTTTGGTGAGCAAAAAATGAAAGCATCTAAATTACACCCCTCCCTATAAAATCCCCCTTTTACTCCGTGTCCTAGACTTGTTTCTGTTGCGAGTTTAAATACTTTTTGAATTAGTTGGAGAATAACACAGCTAGATTTGTGTAGTTCAATGAAATGCGTCATGTCTCTAAGTGTAGGCAAATAAGGATGGGTAATGCAACAGCACACTGTGTGAAATAAAGCAGTGAAGAGCTAACAAAAAAAAACAAATGTCCTCTTTAAACTGTTATTTACAGTGGAAATGTTCACGCTCCAAATGTTGTTGAGTTCTTTCTTCGCTCACGACACAGTCCACAAAGTTCCGTGGAAATCTGTAAAGTAGAATTTGCATAATCCTGCCGACAATAAACAAACAAACAATGGGACAGGGTTGAAAACATAACTTTCTTCATGGAGATGATAAACCCAAGAAATCCTTGATGATCTTTTTGTGTTAGATGACTTCTGCTTATACACGAGTCTGAAAAAAAACACCGTGACCGAGAGTAATTGTTTGTATTTATTGGTTTTCACAATTAAAACCGTTCCAAAAAGAAAAAAGCCTGAAGAGTTCCTCCCATTCCAACCCCAAGGAATGTGATAAATACACACTGCAATTAGTCCAACCTGATAGTTAATTTCTTGAATGGAAAATCTTGGGATCGTTTGAACTCTGCCTCTCTTTTAAGCAAACATACCTGACCTCTAAACAGGTTCCCTGGGGCAAGGTTTAAACCCCTGACCCTTTGGCCTGACACCTCTGTCTTGAGTTGCAGCCACTTTTGACGGCCCTCCAGCCCTTTGGAGCGCACGCACAGATCAGAAAATACAAGTATATGAAGTTCTCGAGGGACGTTACAATGACACGAATGATGGATTGAGGCACTTGAATGCTGGCTACTCTAAAAGCACGCCATCGAGCCTGGTGCACATAAGAAAATCGTCATTTCTCTTTGATAGAGAGCTCTGATTTTTATCACGTTAAACCCTAAGCCACAAGATTGCTAAACTCCTAGGTTCCACTGGGAAAGTGCATCGAATTCAGTAGTGTCCGTTGTCCAGACATAACACAGTGGCTCTTAAAATGCTGTGAAAGATTAGCCGATGGCCGGCTGACTCGCCGAAACCGTCCCAACAGTTTAACTCTCTGGCCTGTGATGCTTAGACTGCCCCCTTCCCCTCTCCACCTCCACACAACAACTGTTCCCTCTCTACAACCTCTTCACACCCCTCACTTCCTGGACACACCTTCTCCCAATTGCTCTCATTACTTGCGTTTGATGTCTGGTGCAGCTTGCGCTTCCAGATGCCCCTGAGGAGCGAGGAAGCAGGCGTGGGCGTCTGTTTTTTTCTTTCCTAAATGCAGGTGACTGGTCATTAGATTTGCTTGTCAGATCTGCTGCCAGCACCGCGATTCGCACCGCTCTCGGCCCAGCGTGTAAACTGCACCTTCTTGCGTAACGAGCTTGTCATGAGAACAAGCTAACTCGAGTCGTTCTAATCTGAAGTAACTTTATCTTGCAGCTGGTGTCTTTTGATTGATGGGTTTGGAGAAGTCGATGCTTTCAAGCACACGTCACGGTCGTAAAGTTGTTAACCACTTCACTCAGGCTTATCCCAAAGGGTGTGAGTCATTGTTTTAACGACTGATTGACATGTGTTGCAGCAGGTGCCTACCTTGTTAGCGCTCATTTATTTGTCCTGTTAATGTAATGTTGGCTTCTTTGTCTTACTCTACCGATTAATGTACCTGTTGTGCATGAAAAATGTCCACAACACCAAACTCTGTAAGTGTATGGACTCACAGTTCCTGGTGACCTGATGGTTCCCCCGAGAAACAGGCCCCCAGATTCCAACAAAATGATAATTACCATCCCAGACAGACCTGATGAGCAGAGGTGTCACAACCATGTGTTTGCACTGGATTGAAGACAAGAGATTGCGTCAAATGATGGCGTGCTTGTGATTAAGTTCCATGTCTCATGGCATCTGTAATCAGTGTCTGGCCCAGATGAAAAAGCGTGCTTGCTTTGTGTGTTTATCAGCTGTTTCAGGTCCACAGCTGTCCTTTGGAAGTAGAGAGCTGCCCGTAAATAATAAATGCGTAGTGCATTTGTTTGGCCAGGAGCCAGCAGCATATGTGCTCTTCTTTTGTAGCGTGTGTGTCAGTCTTTATTTATTTATTTTTTTTACTTTACACCTTTTGATCTGTGCTATAAACTGCAGCTCTCTTAGGGACAGCGACAGATTATTGCATTTCTCTGTACGAGAGAGATCATTTGTTCTCTTAAGATCATTCCACCTGTTTTTAACTACTGCGTCGCCTCAAGTTGCTCAAGGTATTTGGATGTGGAGGATTTCTGGAGTTGAACCAGTTCTTAAAGAAGGAAAACTGGGATTTTGACAAGGAATCATTTAATGTGAACATTTTGACCCACTGCATTTCTACAGTGTTTACAAAGGAGCAGACTGGAGCTGCTGTTCACAAGTGTGATTAAACTGTCCAAGTAACTTGTGCATGGCAAGATATTGAATATCTAATTTCTCTGTGTTTATTCTTAATAAAATAATTTAGACAATATGAGGTCATAACTGAAAATTCAGTTTGTTACAGCTTAAATCTGCTGAAAGTTACAGGAGTTCTTGCTCAGCCAGCATATTTTGCTTTACTTATATGGCAATGGAAAAACTACACTCAAATGTACTTATGATACAGTCTCGTAGGAATAAAGACCCCAGCCATGAAATTATCAGTGCCATTCTCCGACCCATTAAACCGAAGAACAGTTTTTATGCACCGACCGACCAGAACTACAAACTGTCCACTTGTTGATTTGTTAAAGGTTGTTCTATGAGTTGCTCCTCTGTTCTTTCAGATGTGTCTCTGGCTATCAATGTAACCCTGCAATTTCACTGGATTCCACACTGGCTTTGCGTGTAGGGACAAGCTCTGTGGCTTGTGTAACATGCAGTCATGTTGTACGACTTGTGTGTTGTTGTGTCACATTCAGATACTTCCTAATTAAGGACCTCTGGGGCCTCCACTGCCCAAGTCTGGACACACCTGTGGGGGCCCGCCAGCTCAGGGCTCACCCTGCTCTGTTCTTCACAAACACGACAAAGCCGTCTTTGTCGGTCAAAGTCTGGTCTTCCACGTTCCCTGGTGACGGTGTTGTTTTGAACTTGACAATTCATCAACACGAACAAAAGAGTCTCATATTGTCTCTTGGAACTCATTAAATTGATGTCAGTATAAATTTATTGAAAAAAAAACAAGCACGACAGCAATTGCACTTTGACCCTTTCTCCCCTTTAGATGTGAGGATTTACCTTCAGTGGAAAAACCCATTTGATAAACAATCTCTCTTGCTCATCTGAGAGTCGGGGTTTTCCCTCTCCTGCATGCAAACCATAAAAAACATAATTTGTACCTGATGTATTTGTTAAAAAACAGAGATGGAGTAATTAGGCTAGAATTTGCTGTCCTTTCTAGTGCTTTTATCCTCTTCCAGCTGGTTACCCAAGCCAAGTCTGTAAACACAGACACGAATAAATGGGTCACAATGGGGCTGCAGCCCAAACTGACATGTTGGGTCAGCAAGTGAATTAATCACCAATAAGTTAGAATTAGCAGTTTAGTGTTGAGTTAAAACAACTACATATATAAAAAGAAAGTAACTGAACCTGAGTAGAAGAAGAAATACTGTGCTATAATATGGAGCTATCTTTTTTTATCTACACGTCTATAAATCTCTCTATTTGTCATATCAATCAGTGTTTCTTATCTGGCTGATGTATTTCCCAAGACACCCGCCCCAGGAAAAGACAAACTCCACGCCGGCCCGTCGAAAGCTCCGTCTCTGTCTGAGGTTAAGAACAAGTTGTCAACAGCAGCCAAGGAGGTGAGACTGACTGTCGTGCTTTTTTCTCTTTTCTTTTTTTGGTCAATGACGAGTCTGATGCGCAGTTAAGCTGACGATTTACTGTCTGTCTCCCACCAGGGGAAACCTCTGCCGAAGACGGAGCAAAAATTTGAGAATTTTGTGAGAAGTTCTTTTAAAATCTCAGACAAAAAGGTAAGTAATCAAAAGTCATTTATTAGTTATATATTTATTGATTGTGGATCGTTATTGGACCCAGATTACCCCAAGTCTGAGACTGATCTTTATTTTGGGGGCTGATGCACAGACAATATTAGGGAGTACAACATTTCCGATAATATATTTACCGCTATATATATAGTTAAAGAAAAATTGGAATATAAGGAAAAATAACTGAAGCTTGACATTTTATAGTTTAGCAATAAACTTTATTATAAATACCTATAAAAGAAAACACAGATACAACCATATATAGAATATAAATTAAGAAAATAAACATTAATGAGCATCTTCTCTCCATTGTTCTGTAAAGTAGAAGTTTTCTCATCAAAAACATAAATGCAGATACCAATGTCTGTGTTAGGCTCATACTGGCTGACAGATATCTTGGTCTTGCTGTTGTAAGTCTTGAGCTCTGACATTACACTTGTAATTAACATACAAGTCCTGCGTCTTAGCTTTTGCAATCTACACATAGATTGAGATGTTTGCTCCCGGGTTTCTAGGAATCCGTAGTAGCCGTAGGTGCGATCACATCGATCCTTATTTTAACTTACAGAGCTGGGTTCCATGATAGATACCCAGGAATGCATTATTCGTCCACACGCTGTCCTCATTGACTTTACGCTGTCCAGTATGCTTTAAATGTCTCTCAGGCACAGTGTGTTCTCTTCTGAATTATTTCCATTTTGTGTCAGCGGGCTCTTTCGAGATGGAAGGGGAGTACACCTGCCAAGGCAAAGTCTTTCTTGGTGATTTACTGAAGTGTGTGTCTTTTGTAGCCTTAATGAAGGGACGGTGGTATGTGGATGGTACCAGTCTCTTTCACATTCAAGGCCTTTGACCAACCCCAAACCAGGGTCTTTCTAAATGCAGGACTTAAATCTCCTCTAATGCTGCTTGCCATGTTCAGAAGATAAACAACTGCTCCTGCACATTGTTTTGCAGAGCAGGGATTAATCACAGAACAGCCTGTAGATTATCACCGCAGTAATAACTCCCAGTAACAGAGCCTGCGCTGTGTGCCAGGTATAACTGCACTTCAGTTTTGAGATCACACAATTGAATATTTGAACGTGCGTTCGTGATTTCAAAACGTTAGCTGCACAGTTATGGGAGCAGGTGATAGCTCTACAGAGGCGGGTGGACGGGGAAAAGAGTGGGGGTGGAGTCGGGTCGGGGAGCGCTTGTTGATCCCAGTGTGTAGAAACATCTGTGGAAGTGCTTTGGTTTCATCAGCCAAGGCTGAGATCTGTCAGACCTGGAGCACCTAGTCATATACTCTGGTATGTGCTGCTGCCCCCACCCAACCCCTCGTCGTTCCCCCAACAGCCCCGTCCAAACTCAGCGTTCCCACAGGCGAGACGCACAAAAGCATGTTGTAGTAAAAGTGAGTCATATGTCTCATGCTGTATAGCACTTCATTTGGATGATATATAATTTCTCTCTTTTTTTCCCCCCTTGTTATTCTGTTGTTATCCCTCTCTCCTCTCTGCACGCCGTCCTCAGGTGGTCAAGGATCTCTGGAGTTTTGTACAAACGCTGAAGATCGAGAAGAAGTAACAAACCCTGACGCATTTGTATGTTTTGCATCCTGCAAGACATTTAAAGGCACAGTCAGCGAGATTTCCTACTCAGCCTCATTGTGTCGTCACTGTTAACTCTGAATTGGAACCGAGGGACTGAACGCAGGAAGTGGGCGACGCTGTGAATGATTCATCATTGTGTAGATGTGAAGCACTTCCTGGAGCTTAATTGTGGTCCCTCACAAACTCACTCGTTCATAACTTCACCACCTGCCAATCTGCACCATCTATAGGAGAGGAGAAGCAGCATCTATTAAAAGCTGTACATGTCCGTTTCTTCCAGAGCAGAAATAGCTGCTACAACTTTAACACTTTAACCACCTGCAGGCAGTTAATGTTCCTACAATGACGTTTTAAATTTAAGTATTTATAGCCCATCGATGACCACACCTTTGCAAACATAGTCGTATGCTTGGTTTGCAGCAGTATTAGTATTTTTTTTTAACCACCAGGTGTCGCCACCGATTTAAATCCTACCCGTCACTTTTTTTCCAGAATTCTAATAATGACACATAATTCACATAATAATTACCCCCCCTGCCCTCACCCCACTTCCTGCTCGCAAGCATTCACCATTTTCATAGCAAAACAACGTAACGTCGGGTACGCAACAGGTCAAGCTAATAATGAGCGCCCTCTGCTGGATCACAAGTCAACGTACTTCACGCGGTCTGATGCGCTGTGTGTTATTGAATTCAAAACGGGTCATTGCAGTTCTTTACTGCAGCTATGAAATGAAAAAAGTTTTTAAACTTCAAATTGCAGAAACCGTTAATTTCTTTGCCTGTAGGTGGCGACGCTGCATATCTACATCTCAACTCTACCGGTCGGTGGTGCATGTTGCATTGAACTGCAGGTGCAGAATTGTTGTTTCCGCCTCGATGAACAATACCGGCTGAGCCTGGTTTCAGGTGCTTCGCATCTGAGACGCTGCGTCTCCTTGTCACGTCAATAATGCAATAGGAGAAATTGCAGAATGTGCCTTTAAATATCTCTGCTGTACACTGATATGAATCAGAGTCCCAGTTTGTGTGAATTTGAGAAGTATATACAGGAACGGTTGAGACAACTGATACCAGGAGACAATTTCATCAGCCAGTGGTTATATCGTCTTTATTTGTTATTTTATATTTACAAAGCGTTTTTTTTTTTTTGCTTTCAGGTTCCATTAATTCGTCTGCCATTGCTGCTCAGAGCTTATTGTATAGAAATCTGTCAGTGAATATTCAGCAGGTGTTTTTACAAATTGCCAGTGGAAAGTATACTGTAACACGCAGTAACTCTATATATGTTGTTGGCCTACAACACCAAGATACATGTCTTTGTCCCCCGCCATGATAAAACGAATAATCTAAAATATCTAAAACAGTTCACTTTAAAAATGAAAGCGTGAAACCGTGAGATTGACGTGTCGACAGCGGTGGTTACGTTTTCTACTTTCACATATCTAAGTTTTATCTTTTTATATTTGCTTTCAATACAAACGTTCATGAGTGCGATCTTAACTTGTGGACAGACCTGCTGACGTGTATGTCAGTGGTTTTTTAGTGAATGTAAATTAGTATCAAGCTCATTTACATCCGTCACAACCTGTGAGGGTAATAATTACAGTGATTACAGCCAAGAATCATCTGCAGCAAAAAAAATACTCATAAGCGCAGTACTCAAAAAAGAAAAATGCTGAGGAATATTATGGGCCCTATAAAACCAACGCAGATGTCCAGGTTTTTCTTTAAAGTAACATTACCTACAGAAAGTTTGAAAAAAAGGCTGTTAACAAGCCGCAGGAGTTTATTTATGAGTTGGCACCGCTGTCATTGTATCCAAGCGTCGTCCAGTTCATTAAAAACAGATAGCGAGCGTATGATTAACATTATTTACGACGACGTGATCATAAGGTCTACATCAGAAAATGACATCAGCCACAACATAAGCTTTGCAGGAACCTCGTAAAGAACTCGTAATTGTTTGTTCTCTCGTGTATCAGCACTCTGATGACAATGAGCAGGCGCTGTGCTTATAATGTGTTTATGATCCTGTATAACGCTTTTTACGAGCCGAACGTCGGCAGGTGGATTCCATCCACAACCAATCACAGGACTTGGTTGAACCCCCTCGTTTGTTAATTAGATTTGAGATTCCTTAGGTGTCAATTTAATTAGTCCCAATAAATTAGATGAATGAAAGTTTGATAATTTAGCTAAATCTGAGAGTCAGATTTGAAGTATCTGTAGTGTGGTGTTTTTAGTGAGGGTTCAGTCAGTTGAGAGTGTGAGGATTAGGTTTTCCGTCGTCCTGTCCTGAATCCTGAATGATTTCTTCTTTTGTTTTTTATATACTTTGCTTGTATCGAACTTTTTTTCTTGCTTTTATTTACAATTATGGCAGCTGAACAATTATCCTCTCAAGTTTTTGCTTAATCCGCCCTTGCTAATAGCTGGTTTTGCAGCTTGGATCTGTATTTGAAATGTTGTGTTCTGTAGAAGTGTTTTATCGTTTCATTTCAACGTTTCGTCTTTAGTTTGTCGTCCTTTGATTCTGAACTGAATAATTGTGAAGCCAGTTCCTGAGTATGTTCATGTGAAATAATAAAAAGAAAAAGATTCGATCTTTGTTGATAACCTGTTGGACTTTTCAAGCTCGTTATTTCTAGTATCAAAATCTGGTTGAAAACATTTTTGCTTTTTATTGCTTTTGGTTCAAATCTATTTCAAATGTGGCTCTGATGGTAATTGAAACACGGTGAAAAGAAACCTTGTTGTTTGCTTTTCATTGTTCAACCTAATTTTGATTGATAGTGTTTCCATGAGTTGCTAATAGAATATTCTATTCATATTCCTGATATGATTATGCCATTACCTCTAATGTTATTTCACGCCTTTTAAACATTCAGGGTGTTTTCTTTCTAATTTTGCAAAAGCTACAAACTCATTTTTACTTTTCCCTCGTGTTCATACGCGGGGCACGCGCCTTCATGCAGTTGGTCACTGTCGTGTATCGATGCCCCAAGATGCAATAGGACGTTCCAATGTGATTAAGATGTCCACATGTCTACATAATGCAACTAAGGCTGAAATGTTCATGTCTTAATTTGATTAGTGTTTATTTTGATCGGCCTAATCAGGTAAGTATCGGAATATTGTCGTCCCCGGGCCAGTGATCAGTTTTTACTGGACCATAAAAATGTTGTCACTCATCTCAGTTTGTAAACGTAGCACACAACACTTTTCTAGTCCTGTTGACCAGTCGCCCATTTTCTCACACACACACACACAACTTAAAGAAGCCTCTATTTGGGCGACACTGTCTTTTTTATGTCTCCCTCTCTGTCACTAGTTAAATACAAACTGATTTTCCGTCAAATGTGCGTCTGTTAATTTCCTCCCTGCTCAGATTGTGATGGTTTGAAGCAGCCATGTTGGCAGCCCTATTAGCTGACATCTGGTGAGTGAAGATGATATAAAGAAGCAGGAATCTGGATGTTTCCCTCATTATCACAATTACTCCTTTCCTCCTTAATTGTAATTACCATCCATCTTTGTTGTTACCACTGGGTGGCAGCGAAGTCCAGCCTTAACTTCAAAGCCAGACTCCATAATGGTATAAATTGATAAAACCTTTTACCTGAAGTGTGAGTCAAACATTACTTCATTGCCAGCTGAGAAGTTTTTGCCCCATAGCCACAAGGAAGTGAGGCACGCTGGCGGATGCAGTGACGGGATGACGCACAATTTAATGTTGCACACAACACGTCTGAGAGACACGTGGAAATCCCCCCTTCGTGGTTCACTTGAATTCCAGTCCAGGGTTTGACTGAAGCAGCCTGAAGGTATTGACACACACGCACACACTCACACACACATATAAAGAAAACCCTACGATTCCACTTGAGCAAATAATATCCACCAGCAAACTGCTGAAAGATTGATTCAGCCTTCTCCGAAACAAAAACCAAGATTTTCTTTTCTAGTCGTATCTAGTTTTGATCCGTTAACAATGTAGGAAACTTTGATTCGTTAAAACTTAGAATATGTTAACTGCAAGTCTGTCTTCATTTCCCATTAATCTAGAAAATCCAGAGAATTTTCAACAGCTCGAACTGGGAATGATTGTTTCTTTTTCAACTTTTGAAAATCTCATGTGCAAGTTTCTAATAAGTGGATTTATTTGTTATTTGAGGTTATGAGAACACGGTGAAACATCGTGATTGACAGAGAATATGACTCCTCCCACCACCGCTGCCGTGACGTGTGTGGTGCAAGATGGCCGAGTTCACATCCGGGATATTATGGTGTCATTTCTGGATTGAAGTAAGAGGTGGTTGAAAGATGCAAATGAAGATACTGTATGTTTATTTTGTACTTTGGGTCGATTGACATTTGTTATTGCATTAGTACCTTTGCTGCAGTTAAACCACACAAACTGTGCAGGTGAGCACAAACACAATATTAGACCATTTGGGAAATCACTAGTCCAGCTGTCACACGATATACATGACACTCTGTTCTCAGTCATGGATTGTGTGTGTGTGTCTGTGTGTGTGTGTGTGGCATGTTTCCTTGTTGAATTTCTTAAACTTTGGTTTAAGATAAAATAATCCTTGATATACTCGGCCCAGGGGTTATATTGTGGTACTCTGTATATGTTAAGGTCGTTCTTTTCACATTGATACATGTTAAAGTGTTCGCATTCATTTGGGTTTAGTTGTTGGCGGACATGCTCATTAAAACATCGCTCTGTCGTGCTACAAGATTAAAGACTCGAGATCAAAGCCCATTGTGGTTTAATCAATTATTCAACAGATTAAAAAAAAAAAAAAAAATTAAAAAAAATTGAAATTTGTTCGGATATGCTTGAGGACACAAACCCTCAAATCCACATTAAAATTCAGACGTGCATTGTCACCACTTCATCATGTCTTTGTTCGTACGGCTTGTAGCAACTAGTATCAATTAAGCTACAAATTTTCACTTGATACAGTCACTGGTGTTGCTGCCAAGAGCGTTACTCCACATGCTTCTCTCCAGACGTCTTGGAAGTGTCAGTACATCGCTCTCAAACACCAGCCACTCTTTTCCATGAATTTGAGGCAAAGATTATGCAACCTCATCCTACACTGTTCTTAAAACTGCCCTCGGGGAATGTTAACACTACTGTCAGACTTACTATATCACTCCACTCATAACAGCCCAGCCTGCATTTTTTTACTGCTCCGGTTGTGATAGCTAAAAGCAGAGATGGCAAGTACAACTACTCTAATTGTTGTGTGTTTTAAGTAATGCACCTTTGAGAATACTCGAGTCTTTTTTGTTAACATTAGATCACTTTCTGCTAAATCGCTGCTTATCCATGACATGACAAATGACCACAGTCTAGATTCTGGGCTTATGTGAAACTTGGCTGAAACCCTGAAAGATTTTTTTAATCCCAAATGAAGCATCAGCTCCAAATTACAGCAGTTTACACAAGTGCCACATGAATCAAGAATAAGTCGGGGCATAGCTGCTCTGCATGACTCCACAAACCCGATCCAAGCTTTCTCTGTCATTTGATGTACTTGTTACGCAAGTTCGCAATCATTTTATATAGTATTTTCATAATGCAGGTTTTTAAATTCATGTTGTTGACGAATTCAAACCATTCAAGTTCTCGCATGCAGCTTTCAGACCTGCACTGAACTCCAGAGATTCTCCTGAAATGATCCAAAGGGGCTGAACGTGCGAACGCAAATTCTTTAGAGTTTGAGGCCGTTTGTAAAAAGTCTGGAGAACGAAGAACTTGGCAGGAAAATATCAGGAGGATCTACAGCAAGCAAGTGGGTGTGTTTGTTTATAATGGATGTGAAAGTGAAAACAATGATTCAGACATTTTCCTCTCGTGAACCCGTCTGACTCTGACAATCTGCTGCCGTGTGCTTCCCATGTGAAGGCAAGCCTCTGTTCCTCAGACCATGCCGAGGTCAGGTGTGCCACAGGGATCTGTGCTTGGTCTTATTCTTTTCTCTATTCACGTGCTGGTACAGTAATCTATTACTACAAGCTGTGTTTCCATTGCTATGCAGACGATACTCAGCTTTACATCTCCGTTAAGCGAGACCCCTCTTATCAGCTTTCATCAACAATTACACAAACTCTACTTTCAGTCTTCTTCAGTCTTACTTCACCTTCAGTCATTCTTTACATCATTTATAGATCTCCTTCACAAAATGGAGTCGTTTTCATTTTAACTCACTTTTTATGGATTTTAAATATTTTGCATGTTCTTTAGAATTCCCCAACTCTTTATTAGCCGTTAGCTGAGGTTCTGAAAAACACTCACATGCATCATGGGTCAGATTGACTTTCTAGGATTAACTTGCAGGACTTCAAATTGAGGATAATATTTTCATCGCTCATCTCTGGTGGAAAGAAATGTAAGGTCATGTCTCTGCAGGCATGTACATTTCCGCCCTCTTTTTTTTTTTTTTTCTCACGACCCAAAGGGATGTGTGATTTTAAACACATCTGCGCGTCTACCTTTGGAAAGAACTCACCACACACCAACAGGTGCCGTTAACATGTGATCATACTATGTAGTACTTCTGTGGTCAGGACATGTGGTCAGTACTGTGGAACTGGTGAGAAGTGCTGCTGTTAACGCAGACGTGTTGGAACAAGATGCACTGGTCATGTTTGCACCTCGCGGCCTCAAGTAGCAGTGAGAGTTACGTTGGATTTTAGCCTTTATCAGTTATGGAATAGGATTCGCAGAGATGGACAAAGGTATTTTTTTTCTTTTAGGTCATGGTTAGTGTTCATATCCACAAACGAACCAGATGAAGTTAATTAATTCCACAAATGAAACATGAAATAAGGGGATTATCTTCTCTGCAGCCACAGTTTGTGATGTAGTCTGACAAAAATGTTGTGTTTTCAAATATACAACTTGTGCATCGCAGAAAGTTTCTGCCAAATTCTTTGTCACAGGCCTGTTTGAATTAACACGTTGTCAACAATATCTGCTTCCTCGGGTAGTTTGTACTTAACACGTCAAAGTAAAACTACTGAGGGAGGTTTATCGATCCTCCCCACACACACACACACACACACACACACACACACACACACACACCCATCCCTCCCATGACGATTGTTTTGACCTTTGCTCTGAGGAAATAAGGCCATCTGTGCTTGATGTGACAGGTTGGCACATCACCTGGATACAAGCAAATAAACGAGCAGAGGGAAAAAATATCAAGGGAACGTTTCAAGCATTCACAGGGAGCTTTCAAAATGGAACAATGGCTTTGCCCTGGGGGAAAAAGTGATCATGCTGGTATGTTTATATTAGACGGAAAGGAAGCCATCATTGTCATCACCAGTGATTTTCTCTTTCACGTCTCGATTCTGACAGTCGACTGTATCTTAATAACAATTCCTTCGATGTATAAGTCGATTGTCGTGGATGATGCGCTTATGTAAACATTTTTCTTCACCCCAAAAAAAAAAAAAGAAAAGACAGTCAAATCTTTTCCTGTCAGGATTTGTGAACTCCGTGGCATTATCATGAGCAAAGCTATTTTTAACTGTTCCAGTCACATTCCAAGATGTCAGTATTCTCAGTCGAGTCCTCGCTCTCCGTTGCAG